CAAAGTTAAGTAACTTTCTTTGGCTTTGAACTTGTTTAGCTTTAGTACATTCATGGACAGCACAAATGTTTCCAAAGTTAAGTAACTTTCTTTGGCTTTGAACTTGTTTAGCTTTAGTACATTCATGGACAGGAAGAGACTTTCTTCCAGTTTTGATATTTTTGTCTGTTTGTTTTGGTACTAGGGATTTTTTTGTCTGTTTGTTTGGTACTAGGGTACTAGGGATCATGACCCTGTGCTTGCAAGACAGGCACTTATGCTGCTGAGCTAAATCCCCCGCCCCTGACTTTCTTCTGAAGCAGGAATTTCTTTTTTATGGTGAACAATATGATTCTTAAGAAATGTCATTATAAGTAATTCTCCACTTCAGGTATTTTATATCCCAGAGTAGTTGGCCAATAATGATGAGAAACCAGTGAGCTGAGCAGAGAACAGGCCTGGAATCCATATCATTACTAAGATCCACATGCCAAGCTTTTACTATTTCCTAGTAAAACCATAATGCCTACCTCTATATATTCAAGCAGTAATTTACTAGTATATTATTTTATCAGCAATTGACTAAAACCATTTTAAAATTATTTCACATTCAAATCCTTTGTTTGGGTCTGACTTAGGAGCTTGCTGTGATTGGATATTGTGTATTTCTCAATGGATTGCATGTTGGAGGCTTGGTCTCCAGTAAGTCTATACTGGCAGTATTAAATTTAAGAAGTCAGGCCAGATAGAAGCCGTGAGGTCATTGAAGGTACTGCCCTCAGGAAGGTTAAAGTAGATCTCATGAGACACTTTAGTTCTTGAGAGAAAGTTGTTTTGAAAGGTAGGCTTGGCTCCATTCGGCTCTCTGATTTTCTGTTTTGATGTGTGACATGGTACCTTGGCCAGAACCAGCCCTATTTAGAAGAATTTCATCCATGAAGTTATGATACTCTGAAATTATGATATCCTTCTTTATAAAATTAGCATGCTTCAGATATTTTGTTATAGTAACAGACAAATGCAGACCCTAAATATCAGTCATCTATGTGCAGGAGAAGAAAAAAGGGTTAGAAGAATTTGTGAATGTCCAAAGCCATCTGCATAGTCACCATTTAAGAACAAAGGTCCTTGTTTTGCAGCTTTTCTAAATGAGAGATTAACCAATAGGTCTTTTAAAGCAGGTCTGTACTTCATTTATAAAGTCGAGTAAGTACATCTGCCTTGGGCTCCACTGAAAATTCTCTGCCACCTATGATTGTTACAAGTTAAGCTAAGAGAGACAGTGTTCACTCTATGATAAACTTATGCATTTTCCACAAAGACACCTACTTGCTTTTCTTTTGCTGTTTTAAAAATTCAATTCTCTTATTTTGTATGTACTTAGAAGAATACGTAAAGTAAATATATATAAATATCTCCTAGTTACTTCTTAAAATTGCTAGGAAACAAACTAAAACATATAAAAAATAAAGCTTCCCACAAACTGTAAATATTTGGTGCTAATGAGCACAGCAGAGAAAACTGCTTCGGCTTGTACCCACAGCGAGGAGCCCGAATAATGCATGAAATGATAAATCTCAGTCCACAACCAGGAGAAGTCTTTTCATAGCTTGTTTAAAGATTCATTTTAAACACAGTATAAAAGAAGTTCTTTGTTTTTTCTTGATTGGCCTGAGAAAAATGAAAAGCTAATGTGTTTCCAAAAACATTATTATAGAGAACAGGAAAATATTCTTTTAATTTTAAATTTTAAAATTTCTCTCCACTCTCCTTTCCTTTAAAAACATTTCCTTACATTGTCTCCTAAAGACTATGTGACTTTTCTGAGCTTAGAGATAATGCCTTCCCAAGTTTCTTAAACTAACAACTAGGAAAGCAGGTATATGAACTCACATATTCATGAAAGTACTAGATGTCCTTTTAGATCTGCCCTGTGTCACACACAAGTCTTTGGTTGCTGAAGGAAACTGTTTGTATAAATGCGTGTTCTTTGTTTTTGCCCGCTTTGTTTCTGCCTTACAATCCATACTGAGTTAACTAAAATCCCTACTGTCAAACGCCACCCCTTTCTTTGATCAGAGTGAAGCAGTTTCTGTGCTTTTTTTTTTTTTTTTTTGTCTTTTTTCATTTTTATCGGTACCAGGGATCGAACTCACAACCGCCTGCTTGCAAGGCAGGTGCTTATGCCGCTGAGCTAAATCTCCAGCCCCCAGAGTGAAACAGTTTCAAGTACAAATAAATTTCATTGCATGGAAGAATTGGTAGAGGGTATGCTTATCACGCATGAAGTCCTGGGTTCAATCCCCAGCACTACAAATAAGTGAATAAATGAGTGAATGGTGATCAGATTTTTATTGTCACAAATGCTGGTTATACTAAACAATGTTAATGACAAAACACTGCTCCCTAAGGGGCAGACACTATTTCAACCTCCAACACCAGCTTAGGGCAACCCTGTATTGCACTGCTAATAATTGAAAGACTTTTTTTTACTTTTCCTTTGGCTTATTATGTTAGTCTTTGTCTACATTCTTGGACATGGGATAAGACTATCAGAGAAAAGAGCAGAGATTTGGTAAAAATAAGTTCCCATCCCAGGCTAATAGTACCAGTTCTAAAGATCGAGTGAAATCCTATTTCTTACTTGTATCTTTCTCGAGTTTTCAGTGCTCTGGGAATTCTGTTACTATTATAGCTGTCAGCAAGAGACTAGGTGACAGAGAAAAAAATATTTCCTATTTCCACTAAACCATGAAGGAAACACCTGCACAGCACAAAACCCAGGTCTTTCTTGTCTACCTCATCTTCAAGAGACTGTAACATTTATCGATCCATACTTCACTTTATATATCCATACTTATAATTTCTTTAGAATTTTCTGTGCAGGGAGGTATGACAGACTTTTACTTTTTTAAAAATTTGAAATAAAAACAAATTTCTGTGAAAATATCTTAGCTAAGGCTAGTCTAATTCCTCAAGCTCCTGTGGACCAGCTCTTCTCATTGCGAGTTCTTTAGCTTTCCCATTAATTCTATGATTTTTCATTCAAAATGGATTTCTTTTTTGCTTAATTTAGCCAAAGTCAGTTTCTGTGGTTTGCAACCAAAAGACTCTATTTGATATATTTACAAATGTTCAAACTATATTTAACATAACTTCACAGGTAAAATAGTAAGCCATTTTATAGATGTGGGAACTAATCCTCAAAAGTTAAAGTGATTTGTTTTGGGTTGTATACAAAGTTACATTAGAACTGACATTTAAAGTTGGATTTATAAGAAGTTATATCTTTACTCTTCATCTCAGAATTAGAAAAGCTTAGAAGTCCTTTCTTGAGAGTGACATTTTGCTGGATTTTTAAGAGATGCCAGCCCAAAACACCACTCGCTGCTCCATTTACTAGAACCATCCACCCATCCACTCATTCAACAAATATCTGAATACAGTGGAGTCAAAGTGCTGCGTTAAACATGGAGAATGAAATGCTGAGCTTGTCAGTCCTTCCTACAAATTGCTCATATTTCTCTGGGATGCTGATTATTCAGTTTATAGACAAACAATAATATAATCAGTTAAATTTAAGTTTAATATGAAGAAAATCTAGAACATAATAATAGTTACATGGTTTGCACAGAATAAAAATAATTCAGCTCATTAAATTAGAAATATTTTTGTGCATTAAATTAGAAATATTTAAGCCTTTTGTAGAGTAATTCTTCGTTGCAATGACTTCTAGAAACACAGAGAGAAACTCTGCTAATTCCAGTCTTTAAAAATAAAGAGATGATGAAATAACATATTTCCTACATCCCTACATTTGCATGCTACCCTCAAGATTTCTGCTAGATCTGTGTAACAGTTAGTATTTTCTTTAAATTAGTTTCCTTTTATTGGTTTGAAAATATTTTAATGGAAACTCTGTATTGCTACATTAAAAAAAGCAGTAGACAGCACTTTCTGTAAATAGAAAGTACCTACAGAAATACAAAAATGAAACAACAGTAATACACTTTAAGTAGATAGCAATGTAGTGCAAAGTTCTGAGCTTGCAGCCTGATTCACTCTGTTCCAAAGAAAGACTAGCAATTGTGCCACAGGTATTAGAGACCTAGTCATTCCAAATTAATCTTTCTCACGGAAATAATAAGGACTGAAACAAAACCTGAATGGAAGAAATTTTCTGGCTTCATGATTTGTTCCATTTGGTATCCTTTTGCAGACTTTGACATTCTGTGTGTTTCAGAGTCCTGAGAGCACAAGGATGCAGCACACAGCAACCTGGGGAATATGAGTCTGCTCCATGTGCAGAGAACTATAGAAAGCAGCTGTGTGAATACACTGGGTGTTCGACTGATTGATTGACTGATTGGTATTGGGGAATCAAACTCACCACCTCTCATCTGCCAGGCAGGTGCTTATGCTGTTGAGCTAAATCACCTGCCCAGCAGTGAGTGTTTTTATTTAGTCAGTGATCTTCTAATATATACCAACTACCTCCCATGTGTCAGTTACTGTGCTAAGTGAGGGTGACTCAGTGGAAGGATTCTCACTCACTTCAAGAAGTTAATTAGGGCAATTGTATAACACAACTGTAAAGGAGTAAAAAGTATAATAATAGAACATCCAATATACCCTACATGCTAGACTAGTACAGAAAGGAGGTATTTTTAAATCACAATAGGGTACCTGTTTCAGGGTTTCTAGAAGGTTTACCTGTTTCAGGGTTTACCTGTTTAGGGTTTCTAGAAGGTATGCTGTGTTTGGTTTTTCCTTTCCTTTGGTGAACATTAGTGAACAAACAGCAGTCACATAGGGAATGGGGATATGGGAGTAGGACACAGGAGCAAAATTTCTACCATACGGACAGAATAAAGGGAGAGTCCAAAACAATGCTATAGCTTTGTCTAATTCTTTCTTTCATAAGACAGAATCATGATTCCTTAGAGTTAGAGGCTAAGTTGATACCTAAACTGGACCTGTTGCAATCCTGTCTAATAATCTTTTTAATTTACTATTTTCAGAGTCAAAGGTATTCACATTTGTTCCGAAAAGATAATCCAGAACATTCTCAGTTATTCTCAGTACCAAAAAAAGGAAGGAAAGAAGAGGAAGAGAGGAAGAACTGGGGGAGGAGAAGAATAAAGGAAAGAAGAAAGGGAGATCTTGAGTGGTCGGTAATTACCATACTTTTAAAACAGTTGAAAGGGAAGATATGTAACATAAGACAAACATGCATATTATGACATCTAAAATAAACTGTTGTATGGTCAATGTTAGACTTTCATTGAGAAATGTTTATGGAAAAATTAGTATGAAAGAATAAATAGCTTACTGTGGTTATCAAAACAGCTTCCACGCTGATCAAAAGCATTTTCTCTGTGGATGCATTTGTTTGTTTTTCTCCAGTGCTCTTTGACTTAACTTTACTGAAACTTTGGTTAAATATGGAAACAGAAGGCAAGAGAAACCTTTGAATATTTCTCAGCCAATCTTACTTTTCCTAAGTAGGTATTTTGTTTTCCGCATTCTTCCTAACATTTACATGGTTTTGAAAGTAAGTATGAGGGATTTTAAAGTTTCCTCCATCTTCCAAGACAGGTAATCATGGCAACATATTAAGTAAGGAGGGAAGTCCAGGATACTTTTTTTTAACTTCATGCATTTATCATCAGTATAGAACTTGGGAATGGAGGAGAGTAGCTTTTGTGAAATAAATATACTGCTGAATTGTCCTATACAAAATTCTGTAACAGCCTAGACATAAGTCATTATTTCAGCTATATTGTTTTTTGTATTCCATCCTGGTTCTAGCTAGTAAATACCATTTAACATTCTAATGATGTTGTTTTCTTCAGAATTATATGTGATGAAACGTTTTACTAACCAATGACACATTGTACAAAAGCATCTTGTTTCAGACTTTGGTTGTATTAAAGACTTCCTCAGGAATCTAAAATATATAGCCTAGAAATTTAAAAATATAAATGTGTATAGATAAAAATATAGAAGTCTTATACCTTAATTCTTAAAATTAAAACATTTAAGTGGCCAAGCCAGGATACAGTTACATGCTAAGCCTTAAAATTTGATCCTTCCAGAGGAATGAAGACTAATAAAATATACCTGTGAAGCTTCAGAGTGATAGTTCCATAAACAGTGGCAAAACCGAGAAGACGGACCCATCTTAGGAGAATACAGCGAAATGTACTTGGCTCAAAGTACAAAATAACAACCTGTGGGATAAGGACAGATAGAAAGAGATCTTTAGGATCAACTGATGGCCCAGACTACAATTAATACTTTGTAAACTGGTACATTATACATGTGAATTTGGATCTAAGCACACATTCATTCAAATAATTCTTTAAAATGGTACATTGATTGTTCATTGTTCATATCAAAGAATTATAGAGGCTTTCTATTGCTTTCAAATAAAATATAATTCTTTAATTCTAACCTTGAGCAGCTTCTGTTAGCTGTTTCTAACTCTTTAGTATGTGCAGTTACCTCTCCTTACTTCCCTATGCAGGCAAGTCAGCGTAGTTCCCACTGCTGCTGTCCCCAGGAGCCCACCTATTCACACCTAGACAGGCAGCCTCACATTCCCCTCCGAGAACCCTAACAAGGAAACACCGTTCACACTGGATGCCCCCCAAATCCACCATTCCTTATTATTTAATGTACTACTTGGATTAATTACCCCACTCAATCTTCACTTTTCACACCAGAGTCTTCATTCAGCAAAGGATATATAAACCTTCCATGCTACATGCAACTGATAAAAGACACGACAACTAATAAAACCAGGAAGAGAGACATGAAAACCAGAGACTGCATTAAAGGAACATAGGTACTGACAAATATTGTGCAGCTTCAACGGTGGCACAAAGAAGCAAGTGAACAATTACAGGATAGTCATGAGATGCAGGAAAGCTACTCTACTATATTTCATCTGCTATTGTTTGATGTTTAGCAAACCTTTATAAAGAAGAACTGGTTTGACCAGGCCTAAGGAATCACATGTAGTGCCACAGGACTAATAATATCCAAAATATATGCCTAAATCTTCTGCTGGAGCAGCAGCTTTGAACTGATTTTGCTAAAATAGACCATTCTAACAGAAAATACACCCACTCCCCAAACCTTGGGTGATTCTTTTGGGTACTACTGGTGGCCATGATGCAGGGGCTAACATTTGACAAGTGGAGCCCTTCTGTCCTCCAGTATCAAGAATGGCATTACTTACAACTCTCTTGGTATTTCTCAAATATTTTTATTATATAAAGGTATTAAATTAGAATTATATTTTCAAGGAACAGAGAAATAATGGGACAAAAATCTTAAGAACAAATTTTTAAAATGGAAAAATTTTGTGCTTTTCAAGTTAAATAAAATTTTTTCAACTTTATTCTTTAACTTATACACAGTATTTGACCACAGTTTTCCAGATCACTACATAGATATGAAGTAGATGCATATAGAGACTTTCCTTCAGAATTTACCACAGACATGTTTGGATTCAGGAAAAAAATAATAACTATCCTTATTTTATTATTTTCATAAATAAATTTTAGCTCATACATATGAATGTATTTCCTTTGCATAAGACACCAATAGTAATTGTGGGTTCTACAAAACAAGTTTTATCGTTTATTAAGGAATTTAAGTTGAAGAAAGAAAAGTAAACTTAGGGGTGAAAAAAGATAGACATGTGTCAAGAGAAATCTGGATACATGACTAAGGAATCTGAGAGAGTGTATGTATCCATTCTCGTGCCAGACAACTAAAGGAGTGAACATTAAATCTAGAACACATGCCATCTTAAATATTGTCAGTGACAATGATTTTAAGAATTATTCTGAAACAGTGGATTTTACAACAGCGGGGCTGTAAAATCCGTGTTACTTTAAAACTTCCCGTTGCACATTAAGCAACCTCTGGGTAATGAATAAACATAGATGAACAACTATAATACAAAATTCTATTATAAAATGATGAATTACTCTTGAAGTATTTGGGAACTATTGATAAAACCTTCAAACTTTTTTCACAGATACAGAATTTGAGGACTTGCCAATGTAAGAGAAGACTGAGTCCTTCGGAAATAAATGAAAGAATAACAGACTTTTCATCACTTATGGGTAAGGTAAAACTTTAAATAAATAAAAATTCAGTGAATTTAATAAAACATGTAGTAGAAATCGCTCGGCAGATAGTGAGCTGGAAACCCCAGTTTGGCTGAACCAGAGGCAATGCAGGTGGTGAGAACTCGCTCTGGATCTAGTTCCCCGGCGTCCAAATCATAGTACGGTTTGTTTGTTTGTTGCGTGACTTAGCAAATTACCTAATACTGTCATGAGATGCCTCAGATGTTTCCTTTGCAAAAATAAATGAAATAACAATACTGCTTCCTGAGACTATTTTGAAAATTAATGTAACAGTATGGAGCAAACAAAAACAGGCCCTTTTATAGTGCATATTAAATGTGTTGGATAATTATTAGAATTATTTGTTCTTTGTTGGAAAAGTTAAAATTTTCATTGTAGTATAATTATATACTATTATTTCAGTGAATATCTGACCACTTCAGTCATTCCTTCTTTTAAATTGCTATAATCACTTTTTTGCTTTATACTTTTTCTACCATATTTGAATGGTTATACCTCTGACTCAAATTTAAAACTAGGGAAGGCTGTGCTCTTCTATATATTTTGTAGCTTTACAAACAGAAAATTTATATGTGTTAAATATTTACCGAATGATGTATCTCAGCTAATTCTTAAAAGAAAATGTTATCCTCAAAATACATTTGATAGACTTATCAGACACCTAGAGTTTCACAGCATCTCACAAAACTTTCTCCAAAAAGAGTCATATTTTCAGTCATAGAAGAAGCCTTAAAGAACTGCAAGCAATTTGTGAAATGATCTCATGCACCCTGTCAGAATGGAAGGAAGCTAGAAACTAATAATAAAAGAAACCATAAAAACTACACAAACACTTGGAGACTGAACAAAATACTTTTGAATGATTGTAAGTCATTAGTGATATTAAAGGAAAAAGCCAAAAAATCCTAGAATCAGATGATAATGAAAACACAACATGTTAGAATGTGTGGGACATGAGGCAAGCATTCTAAGATGACATTTATAGTACATTAGCAAACCACAGTGGTCCCAAGTAAGTAACCTAATGGTCAATCTTGGATTCCAGAACAAAAATAAACTGAGCCTAAAGCCAGTAGGGGAAAAGAGATAATAAACATCAGAACAAAGTTAATAAAATGGAGATCAAACAATACAAAAGATTATGAATTTTAAAAATTCATTCTTTGAAAAGATAAACAAGACTGACAAATCTTTAATCAAACTTGACAAAGAAAGCAAAAATGCCCTGAATTAATAAAATTAGAGGTGATACAGTTTAAATTTCAATCAATACTTCGGACCAAGAGGATTATTAGAAACTATTTTGAAAATTTATATCCCAAGTTGAGGAATTTAGAAAAAATAGGTAAGTTCCGGTGACTTCCCAAAATTGACCCACAAGATATAAAAATATAGACAGATTAATAATGAGCAATGAAGTTAAAATAGCAGTAAGAACCCTCCCAACTGAATAAATCCAAAGATCTTGCAGATTTTCTGGTGAATTTTATCAGAATTTTAAAGAAGAAATAATGCCAACGCTCCTCAGATTTCCATGAAACAAAAAGAGAAGGAACACTTCCAAATTCTATGAAGCCAGCATTACCCTCATATTAAGACCATATAAGGACTCAACAAACAAAAGAAAGCTATACCAATGTCCTTGAAAAACACGGATGCAAAAATCCTCGGTAAGATTCTTGCAAACAGAATTTAACAACACGGTAAAAATATCATACACCACAATCAATACCACAGTGCATTCTAGGAATAGAAGGCTAGTTCAAACATATATAAATCAATGAGTATAATACACCATTGAAATAAAACCAAGGTTAAAAAACCACATGGTCATGACAATAAATGCCAAAGCCACTAAAAAATTCAACTTTCTTTTATGATTAACAAAAATCCTTGAAGAAAATAGGTATAGAAAGACCTTTCTTCAAATTGATAAAAGCTACACATGAGAATCCCACAATCAGCATCATAGTAAATGGGGGAAAGATTGAAAGCATTTCCTTTACTTTGTCTGTTTCTGTGGCACTGGTGTTAACAGAGCAGAAAGGGCTTACTAAATAATCTGCTGGGTGAAAGAAAAAAATAAAGCTATGGGGGAAGGTACAGCTGAACATACCTAATGCTGTGAGAACGGAAATGTGATCACTCACGGGAAGAGAAGAAAAGATGCTGAATCACGCAAACACTGGGCAGCTGATCATTTGTTGAGGCAGGAGAGAGTAAAATGTCAAAGATGTGTGAACATTTTAAGTCTGAGTGATCTGGAGAAGGATCATTTGGCTTGAAATGAAACAAAGAAAAGGATGCATGGGTCTGAGGAATATTATGATCAGTGATATGTCAGCTGTCTAAAGGCCCCGAACTCGAACTTTCCACTGCTCCAGCAGCAAAGTTTGAAAAAATTTCTGATTGGTGGTTGTAACGCTGGCCCATAGGCAAACTGAAAATTCAACTTGAAAAACCTACACGGGTCAACAGTGAGTTACACATTGTATCTTTTTGCAGACACAAAGGGGTCATGAGCACAGCTATCACCCCGATAATATAGTGCTCGTGCAATTTGGGGGCCTCAGAACCAATTATTTTATTCTCTATTATTTCTTATGGGAAAAACATACTCAGTTCTCAAACTTTTTGTTGTTTGACTGAACTGGGAATGAACTGAGCTCAACAACTGAGGTGTCGCTGTCCTTCTAACATGAAGCTTCACTATCTTATTCTTGTTCCAGAGGGCTGGCATCCCTGGCTGTCTCGGCATCCCAAGACCAAGTAAGGTTTCTGTCTTATTTGCATGCCTCTTTCTGTCATTGAGCACTAGATCTATCAACTCTATTTTTAAATAATTTCTGTGATTCATTTATTTACTGTCTTCTCCCAGCTATTTATAAGATACATAAGGGTAGGGACTGTAATGGTATTATTCATAAGTGCATGCCCATTTCCCAACTCTTTGCTTGGAAATAATAGGTAATTAATACATGCATATGCTAGGACTAAAATTTTAAAAAGATATAGAAGAGACGAAGGGAAGGAGGGAATAATTGACGATGGAAAAACAGTAAGTTTACCCAATTCAGATCTAGTTTTTAAAAACTGATTAATATACTCTGTAATGAAAGAAAAACAAAACTCAAAATGATACTCAAGTTTCAATGTCTTTTAAATCTCATTATTTAATCTTTCATTGTTAAACAGATATAATCATAGTTTAACAACATGACTATAAAATGCATACTCTTTCCTAAATCCCAAGCTAGTAAGATTTTGTTAACAGATTTTAGTAGAACAAATGTAAAAAAAGCTAAGCCACTATGCTGAATAATTTATGAATGAGGATAATTCTACTGATATCACATTAATAGCTGTCATTTTTGTATCAACAATGGCTACTGTTATGATTTGAAAGGCCCCAACCCCAAAACTCATGTTAATTTAATTGTCATTGTAACAGTATGAAGAATTGGCCCTTACAAGACGCCACTGGATTATGAGCATACCATCACCTTTAAGGCCATTAAAGTAGACGGAAGCTAGTTATCAAGAAAGTGGGCTCTTATACAAAGACAAGTTTGGCTTACACTCTCTCTGTCTCTGTCTCTGTCTCTCTCTCTCTCTTTCTCTCTTTCTCTCTCTCTCTCTCTCTCTCTGTTTGCTTGCCCTTCTGCCATGATATAATACACTTTGAGGATTTTGCCAGACACCAGGATCATGCTCTAGACTTTCCACCATCCAAATCTGGGGGCCAAATAAATTCCTATTGTTTATAATTACCCAGTCTGTGGTATTCTGTGATAGCAGCGGAAAAAGGACAAAGACAGTTACTTGTCCCCCACACATACAATGATCACTATGCTAGACATAGTACATATTTAGGTTAAGGGTAAACTTTATTGTTTTCATTTAAAAGAAATAGAGACTAAATTTTAAGGCTTAACTAATTACCCCTGTTTATCAAAATAGACAACTCTTTAAATCAGAATCCACAGTAAATTCCTTTACAGGAAGAACACCTGATGATATCATTCCAAAGCACACATTCCAAGTGGAAACTATCTCTATCGCCCTTCAGTGCTAGAGGCTAAAGATACTGTATGAATGTGTGGGAAGCAGGATACAGAGTACCACTGAGTTCACTGCATAACCTAAGGACTGAAGGGCATACATAATTGCTGAATGAATGAACACTGGGTATTAAACCATCAGTGATGTAAAGGAAGATATCTTATGATAGAACAAGATAAGAAGGCTATGGTTTAAATCCAGAAGTCCCTCAGAAGCCTGGTGCCCTTACACGTAGAGCTTTTGGAAGGTGATTGAATCATGGGCTTACAGCTGACTTCTTAGTTAGTTTGAGGTGTTGTCTGGTCAGAAGAGGTGGTCAGGGGTGTGGCCTCAAGGGGTTTATCTCCCCCTTTTGAGCTCTGTTTTATGTCTGCCATTCCATGAGCAGTTATTCCTCCACCAAATGCCTGTGCCAAATGCCTCCACCAAACGCCATGTTGCTCTGCCTTGGAACCAGAACATTGTAGATTGAAATGCTATAAACTGTGAGCTAAAAGAAGCCATCCTTCCTTTAAGTCTCAGGCACCAAATATTTTGCCCAGAAATGAAGAAATAGATAAGGCCAGACGTATTCAGGTTGAGCAGCAGAAGGTATCACATGAAACAAACCTTTTTCCTTTTAATACTGCCTAGAAGACTTTTCCTTCATTTTCTTTGACAGTAAGTCCTAAGTGTGAAGGTTAACATACATTTCTGAACATTTTAAAGGCTTTTTGTAAATCATAGAACATTTTCCCACATGCTTATAAAATTCAATCAGCTGATCATTGTTATGGGATACTATAGATACGAGATTTTAAAAGATACTGCTTTTGACAGAGACAGATTTCTAGACCTTGCCCTCATATACCTGAAAATCAGCATTGGTTACCCTCCCATGTCATAAAATGTGATGTCTTAAAACATATTTTGAAGTCTGTTTGATGATATGTACTCTAGATATTGAATAGAGCTAGTAGAGTTTGGGGAGAGGACAAAGAAAATACTGTTAATTAGCTTTCCCAAATATGTAAAAAATAGATTAATATTTAAATAGAATAACTTTTTAGCAACTATAGACATTGGAGCAGCAGAGGCTGAATCCACAGTGTCACTAGTAGACACAGTGCCCAATGCTTTCAAGGAGGAATGCTCAGGTGGTACAGGGGGTAGAAGCTGACAAAATCCAGTGCTCTTCCCAAAGTTGCTTCTATAAAAGTGGGAAGCTCGTGTTTTCATATGAGCAATAGTCTTTATCACAGCAGTTCTACTTTCTTAATTGGCTCATCTAATGTGATTTGCTTCAGTTCAGTGAACTGGTTGTAAATTCAATCACTTTTTTGAGCGAATGAGGTATTTCATGCCCTGCAGTTTTAGCACAGGTTGTGAGAACCGTTTTATTTATAAAAATTTTTTTATTGGACAATAGGAAGCAGGATAACAGATGTTTGCAAGATTCTTGTTGATGCCTGAGGTTTTGAGAACTTTCTCCTGCATCTATCATCTTCTCCTACTGAAGGAAGTTTCTAAGCAACAATTCATACTGAATGGGCGAAAAATTAGAGGCAATGTCTTATCTCAGTGGAGGACACCCATCAAAGTACTGTGTGAAAATGTCTAATATTAAAACCCTGCATTTAACCTGTCCAATTTAACAATCTTTTGAAGTAGGAGGCTGAAAATGAGTCATTTAGGCCAAACCTTATGCATTAAAAGAACTTTTATATAAGATTGCCTTTAAAGGGTCTTTATTTAAAGCCCTTCAATGTGTTATAAAATTAGTTTTCCTACATTTGGCAAGAGATATTATTCTGTAAAAAGGAAACATTTAAGATTAAAATGTATGCCTTTAAAATTTTTAACTAAAGGTGGATTAAAAGCTGCAAAAATACAGTTAAGGCACATTTACATTTGTGCAATTACTTGAAATATGAGGAACTATAATTGTAATTATGTCTTTACACAACCATAGTGTGGAACAAGTAACTCAGAATCAACTAAAAGGAGATATTAATTGACTAAAAGTATAAATATAGTAAAAACTCCTAAAAATTAAAAAGTATAAAAATAAGATTTGGAGTCATTGTGAAAGTAGATATAATATATGTGGTAAATGTGTTTCAAGATTCCTAACATAATGCCCTTGAAAACAACAACAACAAAAAAAAAAAATTAAAAGAGCTTACAGCTCTAAAAACTAAAGGCAAAGATGTCAAGTTCCTGATGTCTGTAGACTACTTTATAGATGGTATCAAATTTATTGTTACCATAATTTAAATAAAGTACCATAGACTTTTTCCCTCTTAAGTCAGAAAATCTGAAACCCCCAAAATAACAGGAAAAGATTTTCACTCATATTCCTTAATAGAGTTTGACTCTATTACTCAGGTCTTTTTTAAACAAAATAAATAAAAATCCTTGGGCAGTTGGGCAGCTTGGGAGGCTGAGGCAGGAGGATTGCCATGAGTTCAAGGCCAGCCTGAGCTGTCAATGAGACCCTATCTCAGAAAAAAAATTTTGGGAGGGGGGGAATGCTCTGATGGTATCAGAACCATTTCTATATCATCTATTACTGAAACAGTCCAGTCCAGTCCAGTCCATCATTGATCTGTCTCATCCATCATCTCTCATCTCAGTCCATTCAAGGATTGCAAGTCCAAGAAGCAGCACTCAGAAATATATGGTACTTGGCCTCCCATAGAAAGCAGAGCCGGGGGCGGTGGGGGAGAGGCTGTGTGCTGCAAGAGTAGTCACAGAAATGATACTGAGTCCCTGTTTGAGACCTTAACTTCACACAGGTAATTCACTGGGGCAAAAAGGGGGTATGCACAAAAGCTCATGAAAAAAGCATTTGTTTCTTTGAAGACAGCAGAGATTACTAAATCAGTTTGATCCATGCAGATAATAGGAACATAAATTTAAGCCTGTTTACTTGTTTTAAAAATTCATACAAAAATTATGTTCTTCGAGATTAGCAAAAAAAGAAGAGCAAAACAATGATAAAAACTTAATGTTACAGCTCTGCTTCCTATTTCTCTCCAGATGCTCTTATAAGAAAATTTCACATTCCTAAGGAAAAAAGAAATATATACTACAGTAAGGAGAATGGTGAGTACAGTGATCAAAAATATCATTTTCTGTTTGATTATTATTAAAATAGTGACATTTTCTAAAATGTGTAGCTAGGCTCTATTTCAAAACATGACCATAAATGCATAATAAGAAAGCATTAATTTAGAGGAATATAAATGTATGAACAATGCCATTTCTATGTATATGTGTGATGTCTTTACCTATCTCATTATCAACAGTGTTGATAATGATTCTTTGGTTATAATATTAGGTACAAGTCTATATCTTACTACTTTTACTGTCAGTATACTCATAACAAAACGTTAATTTAGAATAAGAAACTACTCTGATAGCTATTACAAAGGCTTAATAAATTATCGATAGTAAAATGTTTGTCTCATGAAACTGCCAAACAAATATGAGTTCTTAAGCTTTAAGAATAAGTTGATTTTGGTAGGCACCACATGTTAAGGCTGAAGTATCGAAATAAACATTGAGCTTTTAGAAATAATAGAAACATAGGTAGGGCAAAATAATCCTAGGAATGTTTTGTTGTGTTTTGAAGCAATGCACAGGGACGTAATACCTCTGCAGGCAATCGGGCAGGATGCTTTGAATGCTTTACATTGTCTGCACTGTATTTACCACAACCATTTTTTGGCAGATGATGATAAAGTGACTTGAGTAATGGATGTGGTTTAACTAGAAGTAGTATCCTATAGAGAGATGGAGATCTCATCTCTCTCCTGGCAAAGGGACTCAGAGCTGGGCGTCCCAAATGTTTCTGGGCCAAGAAACCACCAGATTCCATTAAAAAGCAAATTGTGCTTCAGCAGAGTTGGGGTGAAAATGAAGATTATGTGTTTGTGACCAACTAGAGGATGCTGGTTCAGCTGGCCCTCAGGCCACAATTCGAGTATCATGGGTTGACTGACAGCAGCAAAATATAAAAGTGAAGCCTGACAACACAGGTAACTAAGTCCTTCTGTTTCCTCCATGCTGATAACAGGAACATAAAATTTAAAACTTTAGGATGTTCCCCTAAAATGTGACTAAAGTTGTAGTTTATTCGTAAGTTAAAATGACTCTCAGGTAAAAAAAAAATCTCTCTCTTGAAAAATGGACATGATCAGGAACAAATGAGCTCTGAATATATTCAATGATTTACTGATTTAGGTTTTTTCTTCTATTTTGTATAACAGACAAAAAACAATACAAGAGTTGATAGGTAGAGTGGCAAGGAAAGACCATCTCTCTGGGTGTCAGTTTGCTCAACAGTGTAATGGAGATACAGCGTTTAGAAGCACTTAATAAACCCTAGAACAAGAGGAAATGCCAGTTTTATTCCTAATCAGAGGAATTACTTCTGATACTTGTACCATTTGAGTTCACAATCTGTTAGTCTTCTACATATATTGTCCAATATGAAAAAGAAATTACATGTGCAGTAGGGTTGAGAAGGAAGTGTACAGGGAGAACTAAAGAAAAGACAGGCAAATCAAGTTTCCTCAAGCAGAAGCAAGAACATGAAGGACAGAAGAAGGGAAAGCAATATGCATCTGTGTGAAACACGTAACCATTGCCATCTAAGCTAATTCTCATTTCTCATCCACAGTTCCAGCAGGCCTGCAATCTAGCAACTGCCAGCCCAGGTCGTGAGATGCGACCAGGTTACTGCTTAGAGCTGGAGTTTTATCTGAAGGCTTAGCTGAGAAAGAGCTCACTTCTCGACTTGTGTGTGAACTGTGAGAATTCAGTTCCCCAAAGGCTGAAGAACTGAAGCCCTCTATCTTTGCTGGCTTTCGGTTGAAGGGAATGCTCCACCATGGCACATTGCTCATCAAAGCCAGTAATGTGGAAGTGGTAATCTTTTGTAACTTCATGATGGATGTGATGTGTTTTATTATAGAAAGGATCAGGTGTATCCCCTGACATATTGCTGTAAAATTTAATGTTGTCTTACTGGGTCTCAGGTTTTTTTTTTTTTTTTTTTTTTTTTTGAGAGAGAGAGAGAGACAAAGAGAGAGAAGGTCACCCTGCGTAGTTCAGGTTGGCCTTGAACTCACCGCGCAGTCCTGGCTGAACTTGCTGCAATTCTCTTGCCTCGGCCTTCTGAGTGCCAGGATTTCAGTTCTGCACCACCACACCCAGCTGGGTTCCGATTTTGCTTTCGTTCTCTTTCTCCTTACTTCTTGCCTGTTCATTTCTTTGGAGTAGGAACTGTTTTGATTTTTATAAGAGTACATATCTGAGTCTCCTTACAGTCTTGGATTCTTTGGACTTGGAATTTGGACCAGTACTAGAACAGTTAACACTTTGACAAGTCATGGAGGTGGACTGAATGCATTTTGGATTATGAAATGGACATGGCCTTTCGGGGTCAGAACCGTGTCCTATATCTTGGATCTGGAATGTTCCTTAAAGGCTTATTTTTATTTTATTTACTTTTTATTTTGAAGAGATAAAAACAAATGAAATAAAACAGAATAGAGTTAAGCAAAACAAAATGATGAACATGGTACATAACTTTAAAACAAAATACAAGAAAATCAATAGTGACTACCATAATGCCTCTTGTTATCTTCAAAAGAACTGCCCATACCACCAGGCATAATAAAATCAAACAAAATAGTAAAGAATAAAACTAATAAAAACTAAACAATGGAAACAGTACAGGACTTAAAACAAGATAATAGTAAGATCACAATGGGTATACTATAATGCATCTCGTTATCTTCAAAGTAATTGCCTATACCATCAGACATGATACAATCAAACAAAACAAAATAGAGTAAAATCAGTCAAAACAAAATAATGAAAGCAATTCAGGACTTCAAAACAATACTAATACAAATAAAGCTAGTGCAAAATAAAAATGACTACCGTAATATATTTTGTTATCTTTGAAATAGCTGTCCATGCCATCAAATATAATAAAATTAGACAAACCTAAACGCTTATTTTTAAAAGGCTTTGTCCCCAGCTTGGTACCTTTGGGTACTTGGTGCTTAGTACTATTGTATTATTGGGTACAATGGAAACTTCATGAGGTGATGCCTAGTAAGAGATCTTCTAATCATCTGGGGTGTGCCCATGAAGGGCATAGTAGAACTCCAGCCTCTGGTTCTTCTTTTCTCTTTCAAATCCAGGCAACGAGCTGAGTGCCTTTGCTATGTCTTGTGATCCCCATGACGCTGACTTTACCACACACCCAAAAGCAACAGGGTCTACTGACCATGGTCTAAATCTCCAGCACTGTGAGCCAAAATAAAACATTTCTCTTCTATAAATTGATGATGTCAGGTATTTTATCATAGTAGTAGAAATAAACTGACAGAATTACTATCATCCCTTATGGGGGGATACCATGGAATAGCTAAGATCAAGAATATACACAAGGCCACGTAGCTAGATACGGCAGAGCTGAGGTGTAAACTCAGTGTGGGCGTGGAGCCAAGACCCTTCTCACTTGTCTCCCTGCCGCCATCCCACAGGACATGTGGAGTAAACAGGAAAGCGTGCACGTTGTGCACTGCAGAATGCCTCGTGCTCTAGAGCCACGGGCAGCTTTGAAGCGTGCTGAGGACAGAGGAGTTGAGCTGGATAGTACTGCTTACATGATAAAAACACTTTTCAAATAAAAAGATAAGGAATATGGTTAATGAATGGGTAAAAATATGTTTTGAAACTGCAAGAATTCAAGAAGAGATTTTTCAAAAGCAAAAAAATGACATTCCACAATTAAATCATGGGATGAGAAATATGTAGCCATAATCATGGCAAAACTTAGAAACCAGGAGCCAATTCAGTGATGTCCAACTTTGACTGTGCATTAGAATCACCTAGGGTGGTTTAAAAATGTATTGAAATCCATGTTTTCCTCATGGAAACTTTGGATTCTGAAGGGCCAGGTAATACCCAGAATCAGTCTCTCCTTCTCTCTCTCTCCCTCCCTCTACCTCTTCTATTCTAGCCCTTCTCTTTCAGCAATGCATAGTTGTGCTGGAGCCTGGACCAGTTTCCAGCACAGAAGCAAGACTCACATGGACCTGGTACACCCATAGTTAGAAGCCTTGGAAAGGGTAAGGAAAATATTTGGAAGGTAGTAAAATGCAGTATAAATTCTACTTCTAGAAAACTTTCCTGTATATACACTTGTGTAAAATACTGTGTGCAAACAGATATGTCCAAGAACAATTGCTAAAATAGTGCTTGCAAGGCCAAAAACAGTGAAGCAAACCATTCCTCACTGACAGGAGACAGGTTAAATACTGTAATTCATGAAATCTCCATAGAATGAAAAATGATGGCATTTAAAATAAGTAAATCTCAGTCTGTTTCTATGAAAACATCTGCGAGACATTGTTAAATATTAAAGTCACAAAACAGTATTAAAATCTTATTGTTAACATTATATCAAATAGAAAGTCTGCATGTACACTGAGTAGACTATGAAAAACTACATCTCTGTGGATGAACTGGGGAGTCAGGAGGAAAGGGTAGAGGATCTTACTCAAATGCTTTGGCATTGACACTTTTTTACAATGAGATCTATCACTTATTATAAAATGATTTTAAAATGCATGAAAGAATTTCCAATGGCTTCAGTGTAATGACTGTAAATGTCTAGTTCTTCACACTTTCACACAGGAAGCAGAGGGTGATTTCTAAGGGGAGAAGTGGAGAAAGTATATGTAGTGTCCATGAGGTGATGTTATTAGAGAAGGCAAGATACAGAAAATGATCCAAGAGAAGCTGGAAAACCTTAAGACCCCACTTCTCAGTAAACACAAGAGCAACAGAGTTCATAGAAAAAGAGTTGAGCTCTAGCATTTTGAGAGGAAAGAAAAATAATTAACAGATGCAATGTATAATAAAATGATTATAAGCAAAATCTCTTTTAAAGTTCAGACCTCTACCGACCCCATCCTAATCCTTAGGTTATCCTGCCCCGCAGTGCTCCATCTATCCAGCTTAGCACTGTTGTACATCCTTCTCATGGATAGTCTCATGTAGACATGGGCTAGGAAGAAACGCAACTCTCTATGTAGAGTCCAAAGATTCACATCAATAGTCTGTGCCTATCCAATTTGGTTGAAGAAAGTGAATGAGACATATGCAGCCATGGATTCCCGTAAGCCACGGCTTAAACTAAAAGTCTAACACAGCAATCATGCAAGTCACCATTACAACCTAGGCCAAGAAGGAGCCTATTAGTCATATTTCTCTGTCTATAAAGAAGTTACCACTGCCCCTCCACTGTCAATGTCCTTCACAGAAATAATAATGTTCAGTCAGCCCTCCAAATCTGAAGGTTCCATGTATCAAACCACCTATTGGCTGAAAATATTGGAGAAAAACAGTTGTGTCTGGGACTATAGGTACAGCTAGCTCAGTGTGGAGGGCTTGCTTAGCATGAGTGAGGCCTTGAGTTTGATTCTCAGCACTGAAAAAATCTTGTGTCTGTACTGAACAAGAGAAGTATAGAACAACAAAGTATAGAACTTTCTCTCCAGTGTTCACTACATAATACAATATAACAAGTATTTACATAACATCTACATTGTATCAGGTATTAGTAACCTAGAGATAAACAACATGGGTTACACAATGCCCTACATTTTGGTCTCCTCAGGAGCCCCTGAAACCAGCCCCCAGCAAATACCAAGGAACAAGTATATTTCTTGCGAGGCAAAGTGAGATGGCAGAAAAAGCATGGATTTGGAGACAGAGAGACTTCTCTGCCACCCAATCAGTGCATGACCTTGAACCATTTGTTCTGACCATCCCCTCTCTCATCTGGAAAGACAAATTAATAAATCCTTCCTTCTCTGTTCCCACAAGATGAGAAATAGGTATACAAAAGAATGATGCTAACCAAAGAGACAAGTCATTTCTCCTACATTTTTTCCTTAATAACTAGGGGAAAACTTCTTTTTTTCCCTGTTTAAAGTGAGGATTAGGCAATTCTATCCCATCCTTATAAATTCTCTCTCAATGGCAAATTAACATAAATAATATGAAATTCTCACTCTGAGGGACTTCTTTGCCAGCTCGCTTCAGTCTGACTCATTGGCCCATCCCATTTGAAGAGCCACATTCTTTATTATGCAGCTTCGAACAAAAGGGGCTGAAAATAAATATCTAAATGTAACTATAGGTTGCCATAAATCTCTCCAGAATTTTGCAGTAAGCAATAATGAGTAGATTTTCTCAACATATTTTCAATCTTCCTTCTATTCACTTCTGCCTTCTAGAGATTTTTGTTGAACAGTAAGCGTTACCAATAATAAACACACAGCACATTTTTACTACATACTTAGTTTACTCTTCCTAAATTGAGACACTTAGGACATAAGAAAACATAGTTTGAAGACGGCAAGGGAGTGTCTTAAATTTTCAACATTTTCATAGGTTTTCCTTTTCATGATGAAGACTGGTCATCAAATGTTGTGTTGCCTTATTGGCAAAAGGCAAATTACTAATTGACCTAGGACTGAAGTATTTCAAAGTCAGTAAAATTCAAATGATTAATTATCTTCTACATTTAGACACAGACTTTCTTCTTCGAATTTCATAAAATAGGTTCCTCGCCGTCCATGACACTAACCAGCTGAACTCTAAGGTCGTTCTTAGCCACAGAATCATCTGCTTGTGAGTGTCTCTCCACGCAGCTCCTGGGCTTATTTTCTCAATTAGGACACTTTGTCTTCCGATTCCTTTACTGTCTTGCTCACTAGCTTTCACAACCAGTGTTCTCCAGTGACTCACACCCCTAGCCATGCTTTAGATTCTGGTACCAACTAGAAATATGCTCCAGCTGAAATCTTTTTTTTTGTTTTTGTTTTTTTTTTGTACCTGTGATCGAACTCATGAACTCGCGCTTGCCAGGCAGACACTTATGCCGTTGAGCTAAGTCCCTGCCCTGAAATCTCTTTATCTTTCACAAAAGGTGACTTTTCCTGCCTTCTCACAACTTTATATCATCTATCCCCGATGATGAATAAAACCAAGGCCTCAATCTGTGGGCGGATCTATTTCTACATACCCACTGTGTTCCTCTCCTCCCGAGTTTCCTTTCCCCGCCACACAGCCTAATACTATGATAGACAGACACTTCTACAGAATTTCCGTCACTGGCCTCCACACATTTCTATCTGTCACCTGCATCTTCCCCGCACAGGCTGCCGTTGCTGCTCTTGGAATGCCAAACCAGAGAGCAGGAAACATTCGAACTCTCTCAGTGAGCTTTTGCTCACATTCACGTTTTTTAAATCAGCTGAACCCTCAGTGTATTTAACATCCTTTTCCTTGTCCCGGTCAATTCACTATTGAACATCCATTCCTTTCAGATTTCTTCTGTTACTGGCTTAGAAGATTTTTTCTATGTCTTCTTATTTTATTTATATTTATACTTTAAGACAATCTTAGGCTTACAGAAAACTTCTAAGAATAGTGTTAAAAATCAGTATAAATGTACAGTTGGCTCTGGTGCTAATGAAACCGCGTACCTTGGTGTGCGGCTTAAACATTCTGACTTGACTCCTCGGGTCTCACCTCTTCTCCTACCCACATTCTAGGCCTTCACGCTATCTTCTGGCTTTGCCTGACTTTCTCACTTGGCTATACCTTTACTGTTCATTTACCTCACACTGAAATGTTCTTTCATCTTATTCTTAGAAAACTCCTACTTATTATTTTTTAAACTGAACTTAATAACATATTAATCATACAAACTCATAATTATACATATTATATACATATGCATGTATATAATTGTCACAGTGGCATATATAGTGCCTCAATCACATCTGCCTTCCAGCATCTTGTGCCTTCCCTTTTCTCCTCTTTTCCTTTCTCTTTCTGTTTTCCTGACACTCTCTCTTTTTCCAATGTACTGTCAGGTTATTTATTTTTTTGGTTTCCACATATGAGACAAAACATGTGAAACTTGCTTTTCTGAGTCTGACTTACTTCATTCAATATGATGTATGCAAGTTCCATCCATTTTTCTGTAGATTACATGGTTTCATTCTCCTTCTGGCTGAATAATACTCATATACATATCATATATATACACATATGTGTGTGTGTGTGTGTGTGTGTGTGTGTGTGTGTGTATAGTATATATTTTCTTCATTTATTCATTAAATGGCACCTAGGCTGATAGCATATCCTAGATATTATGAATAGAGCTGTAACAAACATGGATTATACAATCCCCTCTCCATATTTTTGTAAGTTTTCAATATAAAATAAAGATCTGATAATATCCTATCAGCTCACTCAGGAACCTAAGGGAGATTTTCACAAGTGAGACCCTAAGGCTAAAGAACACACATATGTAAGACATTAGCAACAACAGCAGGCAGCATGGATCAGCACAGAGAGGCAGAATGAGAACATGAAAAAGCTGCCTGAGTCTTTATTGTATAATTCTTACAAAGGTTGTTATTGCATATTTACATTCTTACATAGTGGTGTAATCAGCACATGCATGTTTACCTGTGCTAAGCCATGCTTATCTAACTGTAGCCTACTGTGCACCTGTGCTAGATAAGCAGGGTCACATCCTCATGTGTTCTTAGATACCTTGAGCTTTGAAGTAGTCTGATTAGTCTCCCAAAATCCCAACCCTGGTAAGCAATCACTTTGGCTTTGAAAATATTTTTTTTAATCTTAAAGAGAACAAAACAGAACAAAGCAGATCAGAATAAAACAATGCAATTGACACAGGATTTCAAAACAAGGTAACAGGAAATCAACAGTGTCCCTTGTTTTCTTTGAAATAGTTGTCCATATCTTCACACACAAAGAATTCACACCAGATGAAAGAGTCTAAAACCATTCAGAACAAAAGAAGGAAAGCACTATAGGCCTTTAAAACTAGACAATAGGAAAATCAACAATGCTTAACATAATGTTTCTTGTTCTCTTCAAAATACCTGTCCATATCTTCACATATATTGAAATTAAATAATATGAAACAGACTAATCAAAATAAGAAAAACATTACTGATTTAACAAGATGATAGGAAACCAGCAATGGCTACCACAATGTGTCATTTTCTTCCGAGTAGTTGTTTTACCATCACCTGTAATAAAATCAATACTCTTGGAGTTTCACATAAAGCAGGTTCAACTAGGATGTGTTATAAGCAGTACAATTTTAAAGGCTCCAATAAAAGAATACATTGTTCAAAATATTTCCTTTTTATTATCGTACTGCCTAAACTTACCATTAGAATTATCTTTTATAGTTTCAAAAGAACTCTACAGGGATTTATCCAAAAAGATTAGAGTAATAATGACTATCTAAAAGGCACTTGGACAGAGTATTCTTAAAGGAATATACAGTTTTGATGAAAAATGGAAAGAAAATAGTTAGGTCTTGACCCACTGCTAAGGAGAACAAGTGCTTGGGACCAAAAGGAAATGGGAAAGAGCTGAGAAGTCCTGAGCAGATCCTATTTCCTGTTACTTCCTTAGGGAGAGGTGATCTTTTTTTTTTTTTTAAATTTTATTTAAGGAGAAAAAAAAAAACATAAAAACGGTACAAGTTATACAGAAGTTCAGAAAAAATAAACAGGAAATCACTAGTTAATAGATTACATATTGTCATCTTAGGAATAGCTGTTTAAGTTATAAAATTAAAGCATATAAAATGGAAATTCAAACAGTGAGACTGCAAACAGTTCTGTTCAGTGATCCAACAAAACTCAATAATATGGTTATCTATCTTATACACTTAAATATACATGCAGTTATATCCTTTACAGCACTTTCTTTTCCTCCCTTTTGTACAATGACAATTACTCATTTTGGGTTTTATTACTCCCACAGTTCTTATTACTTTTTTTGAAGAGAATAAAATTAAATGTGACATAACAAAACAGAGTCAGTCAAAGCAAAAGGATAGACATAATACATACTGTAAAAACAAAATACAGGGTGATCAACAATGGTTACCATTATGCCTCTTGCTATCTTAAAAAGAATCGCCTATATCATCAGTTATAATAAAATTAAACAAAACAGTAAAGAACAAAACCAATAAAACCAAAACATTGGAGACATTACAGGACTTCAAAAGAAGATAATAGTCAAACCAGAATGGGCATCATAATGAATCTTATTCTCTTCACAGTTGTTGCCTAAACTCTCAAACTTGGTACTATCAAGCAAAACAGAATAGAGGAAAATCAGTCAAAACAAGATGGTGAGAGCAATTAAGGGTTTCAAATCAAGTTAATAGGAAATCAAAGTGGGTTACTGTAATATATCCTGCTATTTTTATTTTTTTCCTTAATTAAAGAGATAAAAATAAAAAAGTAAATAATAAAAAAAAGGAGATTAAGATAAAAGAGGACATAACAACAAAACAGCACAGGTCAAAACATAACCATTTAAACAAAATAGTGTTTCACTACAAGATATCCCAACATAAAAGTGGTTACCATAGTGTCTCTTTCCTTGAAATCTTTGAGTATAACTTCACATACTCTAGCATCAAACATATCAAGACAATGTAAAACCATTCAAGAGAATGACAGTATTACAGGGTATTTAGAACCAACTAACAGAAAATGAACAATGGTTTCTGTATAATCTCCTTATCTATAAAAGTTTTTGTTTATATTATCACATATAATAAAATCCAATAAGATACAACATGTTAAGACTGATGGAGACAGAAGAACAAAAGCTTGATGGGACTTCAAAACAAGATGATATTAAATCAGCACTAGCTATTATGATGTCTTGTTTTCTCCAAAATAGCTGTTCCTACTATCCAACCTTCTCTGACTCATTTCTGTTGAGCTCTTTTTCTGTCATTGGTTGTCAGTTTGTCTTCTTCATTTTGCTTTCTGCTCCATTCATTGTGGCCTCTCTGCCACTGTTTTGGAATCTTGGTATTTTTCTTTTTTTAGAATGTTCTGCAGTATTCTCTGTAGAGTTGAATTGGTAGTTGCAAATAACCCTAGCTCCTCTTTATCCTGGAAGCACCTTGTTTCTCCATTAATTTCTAGGGACAGTTGTGCAGGATATATCAATCTTGGCTGGAGGTTATTATCTTTCAAAGCTTGAATTATTTCCACCCACGCTCCTTGTGATTTGATGGTTTGTGATGAGAAGTCTGCTGTAATTCTGATGGGTGTTCCCCTGTAAGTGATCTGTTTCTTGTCTCTGATGGCTTTTAATATCCTGTTCTTATACTGGATTTCTGGAATTTTGATTATTATATGCCTGGGTGTAGTTCTGTTTGGGTTGTAGGTGGCTGGGGTCCTGTATGCCTCAGACATCTGAGTATCTTTACCTTTTGCTAAATTAGGGAAATTCTCCTGGATTATTTCTGTGAATAGCCTTTGTAGTTCATTTGTTTGTGTCCCTACTTCTTCTTTTATGTTCTTAATTCTTAAGTTACAGATCCTCTTATCATCTTCAAGCCTTTGTATTATTGCAGTTTGTTTCCTTGTTATTTTTGAGAAGTTTTCCATTTCATACTCCCACATTAGAAATCTGTCCTCCAGTTCAGATAATCTATCCTTAGTTTCTTTCAGGCTGTTATGCCAGCTTTCAATAGAGTTTTTAGTTTCCTGGTAATCTCTTTGAACCTGCTTCACATATTCTATGTTTTCTCTATTTTCTCCATCAAACAATTCTCCCTTTTTTTTCTGTTATTCCATTCCACCATCTGTTTTTTCTTGCATGGTGCTCAGCATTTCTCTAACTATTCTACTTATATCTTGCTTTACTTTGTTAAATACTTCACTTTTGAAATCATCTATGAGGCTCCGGAGATATCACTTTATGTCTATTGGTGCTGTGTTTGACATTGCAGGTTTTCTGTCTCATTTTCCTTTGCATTTACCTTTCCTGGATCAGTGTTCTCAGAATTGGGGACTGAGGACCCTTTCTTTTTGCTCCCTCTTCCCATACTTTTTGTTCCTTCCATACAAGCATATATAGGAGGCCCAGTTTCTTTCTTTGTCAGTTACAGTTTGTTTCAATCTGCCAGCCAGGTGTTCCCACCCACTGCAGCGTACTTGGGAGACACAGACCTGGGCATCTTCTGCTGGGCCCACCCCTCCAGGTTGACCTCTTCAAGCCTTCACTGCTAGGGTGCACTGCCAGGAGCTGGGACCTGGTTTGGGCTAGCCTACTGGGTCTTAGTCCATGGTGTCCCCCAGGCCAAGTGCTCCCCACCAATCCCGCTTGAGAGGGGAATATGCGACTAAAGTCACTGCTGCGTCCTGTTATGGCTAGTCTGCCCAGTCCCAAGTCTGCCCAGTCCCAGAATGTCCTTTGTTGGAGCCTCCTATTCCATGGAAGGGTCCCCGTTCCTCTCACTCACTGCAGGTTGATGCAGGGCTCCCCACCAGTCCTGCTCTCAACTCCATTCACCGATTCCCGCTCTCAGAGGTTTCACATCTCTGTCCCTGCTGTGCTGATTCAGATGCACCAGTGGTGGCAGGAAATTCAAATTGCGGCTTCCAGAGACGTGGGTTCCAGCTTCAGTGCTGAGATTTTATCTGTTCCAGTTATAGCACCGGAATTGCATTTCCAGTTGGTTTCTCTCAGCTTAGTTCATTCCTGGGTCAGCAGGGTACATCTCCCCTTGCTTAGGACTCCTCACATCGCACCATTCCTGGATTGTTATTTTCAATTATTAATGATTACAGAAATAATTGTTTTCTATGTTTGACTTTATCCTAAACTCTGACAATTTCACTTACCAATTCTAGTGTTGTAGATTACTTTAGGTTTTTAAATGCAGATAAAAATTTATTACTTCTTAAAACTTTTGCCTTTTCTTTTCTCTTATTTCACTAGCCATCTAGTATTATGTATAATAGAAATGTCTGAAACGATGTTCCTTCATTGCTCCTGATCATAAAGAAAAATATACATTTTTTTCACTATTATGATTTTAAATAAATGGTATTGTTAATACTAAAGAAGCGTCCTCCTGCTCCTTGTTGATTGAAACTTTGCTTTTTAATCATAGATAGATGTTCAATTTAGTAAATGCTTTTTTCCTTCTCTACTGGATAAATATTCTCCCTTATCATTTCACTATGATAAATTAATGAATTCTAAAAATACTAATCAAATTTTGAATATTATGGATAAAATACTCCTTGGTTACAATGTGCTATCACTGTTATAATTTCTGCATTCAATTTGCTAACATTTTACTAATGAATTTTGAATCTTTCTCCATAAGTTATGTTTGCTATGGTGTATTTTTTAAAAAATTTTGGTTAGGTCTTGGTAAGAGGGTTTGGTAATATGAGTTGGTATCAGAGTGTGAACAAAATATGGATTAGGTAATGTTCTCTCTTCCTCTATTTTCTAAGAGTTATACATATGATTGACATATCTTCCTTAAGTGTATAATACAAATGGTAAGACAAGCTGGTGTATCATTTTCTTTCTGGGAAGATTTTTTAAATTATAAATTTAATTTATTTAATGAGTAAACTTTTTCAGATTTTCTTTTATGGCATGTCGATTTTTTAAAAAATCGTATTCTTCAAAGAATCTATCCATTTTATCTAAGCTGTGGGATGTGTTAACGTGAACATTTACCGTAATGTTGTCTTACTATCCTCTCTTTGTCTGAGAGGTCTTTAGTGATATTTTCATTTTCATTTCTGACACTGGAAATTTAGACATTCTCTGTTCTCCTTTATAATTTTTGTGAGAGGATTATCAATTTCATAATTTTAAAGTTACAGACTTTCTGATTTCATTTTTTCTATTTGATTTCTAAGAATTTATTGTTTTTTATTTATTTTGGGTTTAACTTGTTCTTTCTGTAGATTTGTAAGTTAAAATCATAATTCATATTTCTCTAGCATTAGCATTTAATCCTATAAAGTTCTTTAAAAGTGTTGCTTTGGCTACAACTCTAATTTTGATGTCTTCCATTTTTATTATTATTTAATTTGAAATAGTTCCTAACTTTCATTGTGACTATCTCCTATTACAAATATTTTTAAAGATATTGTTTAATGAACATTTATTTGAGGCTTTTCTAGACAATATATTATTTATTACTAATTTAAATCCAATTTAAGTCATAGAATATACCCATCATTTCCATTTAAAAATGTGTTGATTCATTTTATGACATACCACATGGTTATGTTGGTGAGCATATTATGTATACAAGAATGAGCATTCTTCTAATTTTGGCAGAAATGTTCTTTGAATATCATATCAAGTGCTTTCAAGTCTGCTACATTACTATTCATTTTTGGGGTGGTCTACTGTAATTACTATCAAGATAGATTGATTTGATTGTTAGTTTGCCTATTCTTTTAGGTTTAAATCATTAATTTTTTATATTTTGCAGTTAAAAATTTTGTTGTTATGTGCACACATGGTTTGAGTATCTCCTAATGAATATAGTTTTATGATGGTAAATATGCTTCTTTTTCTCTGTAAATATCACCTACTTTTTTTTTTTTTTTTTTTTTTTTTTGCTTTTTGAGACAGTGTCTCACTATGTAGTTAACTCACAGTGATACCTCAGCCTCCCAAGTGCTGGGATTACAGGCATGCATCACTATGCCTGGCTAATATTCCCTTCTTGAAATGCATTTTGTTTTATTTTTTTATCAGTACATGTTTACTATACAAAAATTTATAATCACCTTGAGGAATAGGTCATGTACATAAAACAACTTGTTTCTTTTTTAATCTTCTCTTTCTCCACCCTCATTTAATTTCCCTTTCCCTTTTTCATTCTTGTTGATATTATAAATTTTAGCTCACATTAATGACATACAATGTCTACATTCAATGAAGTTATTAAGTTCCTATACATGACCTTTTCCCAGTCAGGTCTATAAAACTTCAAAGATTTTTGTTCAGGCCTCTCTGTGCAATGAGACAATTGCATCTTGTGCTAATCCAGCTGACACTTGTGCTACTCCAGCTGACACTTGTGCCTCCTACCACCCCACTGGGGAAAAATTGACCAGTGAAAATCCACTACTTTCCTGGTCCTTTCTTTGAGTTAGCCCTTGTTTACACTAAGTAATTAAAGGCTTAATTGTTGTTGTTGCCTGTTACTCTGATCAGCTACTTGGACATTTGGCAACTCTGCATGCTCCATTTCAGCTCAGTTCTTAAGAGTACTCTTTACTAAACCTATTTCTTTTTTTTTTGTCTATTATTTGAAGTTTTAAAAGATACACAAATAGACTGAAAGTAAAATAGCATTGCCATCTGCATACCACGCAAATTAATATGTGCATGGATTTTGCCATATTACTTTGGATTTGAAAATAAAACTTTACCCATGTTAAGTAGAAGCTTCTAAATTCTCTTCCTTAAAACATTGTTTCCTACATTCTCCAGTGACAAGTGCTAAAATAAATTCAATGTATATCATCTAGTGTAAGTTTTTCTAATTTTGTTCTATTTACATATATCCACAAATTATATGCAAACTTATCCCCTGAATGTAAAAATTTTTATGTACGTAAGAATTGTATATTTACATTTTACAAGTGACACATCAGTCTTTATGGTGAATTAAATAAAATAGATCCAATTTTCATCAAAGCAGAGTTTAGATAGATCTCTTTTCTGTCATCCATTTTCCCTAACACACACATGTCATTATTAAAACCAAGGAAAATCCTATGAAAGTTGCCATTATTGTCAGCAAGGTTACAAGGAAAAAGGAGGTTACAAGCATTGGAAAACATTTCCATGAGAAAGTAAGGTTGTAATTTCCTTGAAAATAAAGCTTATACAGATTTCCAGTGTTTTTTTTTTTTTTTAAATAAGGATTTATTACATAATTTGACCATATGCAACTCTGCTCTCTTACTTGGGGAGTAACAGTGTTAATAGGAACTAGTTGGAAATATTAACTTGAACATTTCTGGACATTTTCCCTTTCACCTCTTATAGGAATGAGAAGGGCTTCTGAAACTAGCTATGCCAACCTTCTTATTTTACAAAGGAATAAGCAGGGCCCAAAACACTAAGTGAGTTGTGAAAGTCATAAAATGGGCCAAACCAGGACTAAAACTCAAGAGTTCTCCTGATTCTTAGTTCACTGCTTTGTACACTAGTTATTGATTATTAAATTGGGCAGTTTGAAGATATCTCAAGGGTTTTTTGCTTAGATAAAAGGAAAAGATCAAGTAGGTTGTCTTTCACTCCTGTCGCCTTTCAGCTAAGGTACCTCCATTTTGGACAATTGTTGTTTTTCAAAGCTATTGTTTATCTATGTAGCATGCAATGGCTCCTTGAACACATTTTGGCAAATTTCATCAGCTATTATTTACAGGATATTTTCAGCCATTGATTTCACACCATCAACAAGAAGCTATTCTCTTTACTAAAATTAATTGGTAGAGTCTTGAAAATTCATCTCAACATTTAGATTTTACTGGATTAAGTTTTCAAGCCAGTTTATTTTCACCTGTGTATTCATGCTAAAATAATTAAGGAAGGATATAATTTTAGTATGTATTATGCTAAAATAAGCAAGAAGGAGACATTTACAACATGGCCGTTTAAGTCATAGTTAAAATACCAAGTTCCTATATAGCATCAGTTTTGGAACTAACATTAGCTATATAGGACACATAGTTTTAAATATCTCTTGAGGGTTTTTTAAAAATCGAAACACCATTTTTGATTCAAAAATTTTCTCTTCTTCATTTCAAACAGAATTCAGATGTTCTTCAATGGCTAAGGCAGATACAAAAATGCAGATTAAAATCTACTATCTACCTCTAAGCATGAAGATGAAGTTGAAAATGAAAATGGTCACAAAAATACTATCTATGTTTTCTTTTTGGATATAGGAATTCAGACAAAAATTTGTAATAATAATTCTCTTTTCTGTTACCTCAAGAAACCTAAACTTACAAAATTTTATAGTAAAGAAAACCAATTTATTAAGAGACCAGCAAATCAGAAATTATGGCCACATTCTATGGAATATAATGTTCGTATTTTAGGTTCACCCTCATTAAATATTCAAATCAGTTTCTCTAAGTAATAATATTCAGAATGGGATCCCAGAGTCTTGGAGTTATAAATATCTGAATACTTTTATGAGTCAGAGACTCTATAATTTCCTTCTTCTTTCTTTGCTATAAACAGATGACACTGATATTTTTATCTTAAAATAATATCTTTGAGTTATTATTGTCAGATACTTTTGCATTATCATTAGATAATTATTTTTGAATTTTCCAAAGAGCACATTTTCTTCTATTATTATATATAAATTGCTATATGAAAATGTTAACAGTATGCTTCCATATAGAGCTGTTATAAAGACAAAGAGTCCCATGTCCTCAGATACTTAGAGATTTATGATAAGTGCTAGGAATTTTGATTAATACTAAAGAAAGACTGAATTGATTTTGGATTTCATATTTTTCCTAGGTTTTTCCCAAAAATTTTAAAATTACCTTGCTTGAAATTTTCAATCAAAGAATAGAAGCTTTGCCTTCTTGATAACATTATCTATAATCAAAAAAAAAATAAAACCTAAAAACAAATAAATGTTGCTTGGGAGTCACCACAGGACGTGTTGAATAATTCTATGTGGCAGGTGCCCACTTATTACCTGTTTATCACTTCTGCTGTATGCTATAATTTGGATTGAGTATTTCCCAAAAGCCTGTATTTTGTGGGCTTGATCCCCAGAGTGGTGCAACTGGGATGCAGAAGATTATTCGGGATGGAGCCTTGGGGAAGTCTTGGGGTCCCTGGCAGGGCGCCCTCAAAGGGGACGTAGGAGCTTGGCCTGCCCTCTCGTCCCTTTGCTCCCTGGCTAATGATGTCAGTGGTTTTTATTTACTACACACTCCTATGATGATGCATTCATTGCCTTGTCACAGGCGCAAAGCTGTGGGACCAATGAATCACGGGCTGAACTTCAAATCTCAGGAACCAAAATGAACCCTCTTCTTTTAAAAATTAATTATCTCAAGTAATTTGTTATAGTCCTTAATTTCTAATACACCATATAGTTGTCTATACACAGAATCATTATAAATACTAGAACACTTCACATGAAAGGAAGAGAAGCCATAAATGGAACTCAGAGTGCCCCCCTCCTTGAACTTACTCACAGTACATTTCCTTGACAGGGTGATGTCCCTGTCTGTAGACTATATATATCCTTGGGAGTGACCACCTCTTAGCCTCTTAGTCTACACAGTGTGCTTTTTCTATGCACTAGTCTTCCAGTATATAAAACTACCAACCATACAGGGCATCATTGCTCAGCAGGAATGGGGACAATAAGCCAGTTTATTTTATGTGCACTGGAGGACTCCCAGACTGGGAAGGCCCCACGCTGACCCTCAGTGTTGGTACCAGGGAAACTATAAATGTAGTTCTAAATTATAGCATTATGCAGGGCTTCTGTTATATCTTATGGCTACCCTATGTACAGTAAGATAACCTATGTAAAGTGCCCATGGTAGGTGCTCAGTACATGATACTTTTCTTCCCTGACAAGGGCTACAGGCAATGTGTTTCACTGTGAAAACATTCTGGCTGTATCTGCTTTATCTGAGCTTGCCTTGGAGATCATGTCTGGTATGAGGTTATATAAGCCTATCTCTACCTCAGATGAAACTTAAAATAGTATCAGACTCAGATATTCCCAGACTGGGACTATAACTGGACTGGACCATCTCACTGCAAGAAACAGGAGTCAGAGCCAATAACCTCCCAGG